CTTGCTTAGGCTTCTGCTGTGCCTTTGTTCTCGTACTTCCCTCTATGTACTAGTTTTGTGCAAACCCTCCTTCTAGTCCGTCTCATTTCGCCCCGAGCTGTTTTGATGCATAGTGATTATGACGCTCATCATTCACTCCCTTGTCACTGGACAGTTCTGCCCGTTTGGTTGTAGCGAATTAAAATAAAGAAGACAACAACAACAACTTGTCCATTTACTGATAACATTACCCTCTTGCTTTTTGCTATTATAAGCACACTATGTCACTCTCATCGGTACCTAGTTGCCTGAGCTCAACAAGTCCAGCAAGTTCTGCAAGTCTGAGTTTGAAAAACTATGAAACTTGCTTATACAGTCTTCAAGCAGATGTGAACTGCTGTGTTGCTAGACGATGTCTGAATCAGGGCACTGGTTGGACGTTTCGTATTGGGAAGGGATTCGGAACACATCTTGGGAGGTAGAGTTATCACATGCTAGTTCCAGTACTACTCGAAGCAGAGAACCAGTTATTTAGGCCTCGACATGGCGAGTGGCGTTGACGCCAACTCAGAAATGGCTGTGATTACCTGTCAAAAAATCTAGCCAAAGAAGTAGACAAGGAGCAGACGCATTTACATGGACAACGTACGATGGTGGTTTGCAACATGCTACCACTGCTGGAGCGACGTTGAGTGCAGGGACGATCGTTGATCATCTACGTATCAGGTGTGGTTGTCAAACGCTTGTGGCCTTTGATGTGGATATGAAGATTTTATGCCCACTGTGCGTTCGTTATGCACCACATCTGCTGTACACGTGGCATTACCCTATCTTAGGGAGAAATCATCAACCCAGTCATTCTGGATATAAAACTATTCCTGATAGCTGTGCAGGCCAGCACAAGAACCAGTACGCTGGACTAAACAAGGTGCGTATGTTCGTGTGCTTGATGGTCAATGGAATGAGTTCAACTGAAAGCAACAGTTCCGCAGGTCTTCGACAACCTCAGCAAGGTGGTCGGCCCAGCAACAGTGGTGACGGTACTTGGCATAGAAGTCGACAGCATGGAGCAGGTGATGCGGCTACCTGACCAGAAGTTATTTGCCTTTCTAGCGGCTTTGAGTGAGTAGTCCACGCGCACTAGCTACACAACGCGGGAACTGCTGTCGCTGATCGGAACCTTGTCCTTGCCGCCAAGGTGGTTCCTCCTGGCAGGACCTTCATCCGCCAACTCCTGTATAGCTGGACAACTCCGTTTCTTCAGTTAGTAGTCAACATCGACACAGAAGCTCACTTGGACATCGAATAGTCGCGCTCCTTTGCCGCAAACTGGAATGGCCAATCCTTCTTCTACGATGTCGAGTGTTCAAAGTCCCCTGACCTTGAGCTATTCACGGATGCCTCTGATGTTGGCTTCTGCGGTTTCTATCAAGGACATTGTTTTTCGGGGGCAATGGGCCGCTGAGATGCAACATGAACCTATTATGAATACTCGCTTCCAAGAACTGGCTTCCACAGCCAACCAACGCCTGGTGCCAACTCCTCCGCTCAACTCGCCGCCCTGATTGCTGCCAGCAATGATCTCATGAGCGACTCAGACCTTTAAGCCCGGTATTTTGCGCACACATAATCTGATGTACCCAGTTTCGGCTATGGCCGAGTTCCGGTCCCTGACCGCTACTGCCGGCAGCTCACGGCCAGTGTTCGTGTTCGTCGACGGCAGCTACTTCTCCCGAGTTTGCTCGACTAAGATCCTCAACTGCAACCGGGTGAGCTCCCATTCTGTGCGCATTGGCGGGGCCACACTCATGGCTCACCGGAGTACAAGTGTCTGTGAAGCAGCCATATGCCGTGCAGGCTGCTGGTGAAGTGCAGCATCCGATCACTATGTCAGGCGTGCAGCCGGTATGCCCTCTGTGTAATGGCTAGCAGCAAAGACTGGAACAGCCCACGCCCATGTGGTGTTGAGAACACAAGTGAGGTACATTTGTAGTGTTGTACAGTGTTGTGCAGTCCGCGTGTTGTGCAGTCCGCGTGCCGCTGTGGCTCTGTGGGTACCACAGAGGGGTTTGCCATGGTTACTTGTAGGAAGTTATGCTAATGAGCGATGCCGTGAGAAATGCTTGGTCGTGAACACTGGTTTTTGGGAGGGTCAAATGCATTTGCCTCTCAGTGTTGTGCTGTACTGTCTCAGTGTTGTGACATCTGTATGTTGTTGTGTTGTTGACCCGCCGGTTTGAGGCATGGGTGGTCAACTGTGTATGTTGTATCGGTGTGTTCCCGTTTGAAGTTGCCGGGCCACCATGTGGTTGACCCGCCGGTCTGAGGCATGGGTGGTCAACTGTGTCTGTTGTATCGTTGTGTTCCCGTTTGAAGTTGCCGGGCCACCACGGTTGTTGACCCGCCGGTTTGAGGCATGGGTGGTCAACTGTGTCTGTTGTATCGGTGTGTTCCCGTTTGAAGTTGCCGGGCCACCATGTGGTTGACCCGCCGGTTTGAGGCATGGGTGGTCAACCGTGTATGTGTATCATTGAAGTTGCAATACGTACATTGCTGTGACTCGCCCGATTGCTGTTGCCGGGCACCTACGCATTTATTTGCCTACTTGTGAAGATATATCTCTTCTGGTTTATTGCATAATTCTTGGCTCAATGTTATCCACGGTGTCGCTCGATGCAAAGTCTCATAAATATTTATCAGACAAACTTGAAAGAAAGAAAAAACTATGGCAAACCCCACTACCTTGTATTCTATCTGCTTGGTGTACATGTGTCCACGTTTTGTATGTTTGGCACGCACATGCGTGTGTGTGTATGTGAGAGCGTGTCTGGATAAATGTGCATATTGATGTTTTGTTTGTTTTAAGTTTTATTGTGTGTATGCGTGCATGCATGTGGGTTAATGTATATTGTTAAGTATGTACAGTACTAAAAATAAAGAAAATAAAGGGTTTGCTCCCCACACTGGAGCTCGCGCTATTTCGACGACTTTACTTGACACTTGACTGACTCACGACTGCCATCCAGAGCACACGAGAAGTCCATCGAACCTTCGACTCGGCAAACCTGCAAGAAAGCACCACTCCCTACTCAATACACAGTGTTTCGGGGAATTCACCCCTCATCAGTTGAGCTTGAGTAGGCTGAGGAAGATTGTGCCTGAAGAGCACCACTTATATAGTGCTCTCCAGGCACAAACATCAACGTCTGTTCTCACCGTCCAGGAGCGACACTGACTCACGCTGCTATCTGGTGTTCACGAGGTGTTTGTCTCGCTGGAAACGGAGCGTCTTTGTAAGTTTGTATCCCTGGTGATGTTTGTGCCTGGAGAGCACTATATAAGTGGTGCTCTTCAGGCACAATCTTCCTCAGCCTACTCAAGCTCAACTGATGAGGGGTGAATTCCCCGAAACACTGTGTATTGAGCAGGAAGCTGTGCTTTCTTGCAGGTTTGACGAGTCGAAGGTTCGATGGACTTCTCGTGTGCTCTGGATGGCAGTCGTGAGTCAGTCAAGTGTCAAGTAAAGTCGGCGGAATAGCGCGAGCTCCAGTGTGGGGAGCAAACCCTTTCTTACAAATCATCGCCGAAGTCGCAACCACTACTTCGTATTCTGTACAGTACTGCTAAATGAAATCCAATCGTACTAGTTCACACCCAAGTGTTCACAGGTCTGGGGCTGCACAGCTCCCAGCATGACATTGACTAACATGATCGGATTTCTAGTATCAGACACAGGTCTGGGGCTGCACAGCTCCCAGCATGACATTCACTAACATGATCGGATTTCTAGTATCAGACACAGGTCTGGGGCTGCACAGCTCCCAGTATGACATTCACTAACATGATCGGATTTCTAGTATCAGACACAGGTCGGCTAAGGCTGAAACCATCGTAAATGCCCAGCTATGGCCTTGGAAAATACGCTATGTTTGTTGCAACGGTAATTTGATCTTTTCTTTCGTTGCAGCCCGCCAATGTCCTGGTCCAGGAAAACCAACATCTGGACAGTTTAACGTAGAACGGAAAGGACAGCAAGTCGGGAGAGGAGGTCCTTTCCAATATGGTGACAGAGTTAGATGGGTGTGTGATACAGGATTCACAGGAAATACCAATGCTGCATGTCGAGCAGATAGTACATGGAGCAAGAACACACCAACCTGTACACGTACGTATACAACATACTTTTCTGACGCAGTGTTTGAGTAACGCAGGCATATATGCCTGGAGCAGCCTGACGGCAGTATTACGAATTGACCTTTCTTGAAAGGGTTATGAATACTTATTCGCACACTTGTGCATAAGCATCAGATAGTATGAAATCAGCCACCGCAGCCTGATAATTGCCTCTTTTTGCCCAAAACGTGAAGTACTTGAAGTAGCAGCAAGATTAATTTAAATTTGTCGATTAGCCCGTATTCTTGTGCCTCACTGTTAAAAAAAGAGACGCAAGAAAGCATGATCATGATGATGTATCATAGCAGCTTAATAGCGTATTTAGCAAGTAAACAATCAGAAAAAAACATAACCATGGAGTCCGAAGGAATGTTCACAAAGTCTGCTGGAATGACGGCTACTCCAACACTTAGTGGTAGAGCATTGCTGGCCAAAATCAAGGCTCCCTTTTTTGATTCCTGATGGTGGCAGTCATTCTTTTCTTCCTTTTTTCAACTCTATTGAACTTTACAATATTGACATGCTATTGGCTGACTCTCTTCATACATGGTCTACAGGTATAAGCTGTCCTGACCCTAGTGCACCTACCAATGGTAACTACATAGTGACTGGGTTGAAGTACGAGGATACAGTTACGTACACCTGCAGACTGGGCTTTGACATGCTGAACCATCCAAATCGTCCTATTACCGGGGTGTGTATGGCCAACAGGATGTGGTCCAGCACCCAACCCACATGTGAACGTAAGTACAGTACACCCTGATTATCTCGGCAAACTCCAACTATCCAGGTGCTCAATTATCCTGATTGTCTGTGCAAGTGTGGGTTGTGTAGGGTGAAATACAAACAATGCAAATCACTGAGTATGTGCAGAGGGTCAAAGGTTTTTGTTTTAATGTACCAACAGTATAGTAAGTATTGCCTCAAGAACACAAAAATCTCCCTCTTTATTTCCACGGTATTTGTTTGTTCTTGATGAAAATATGGCATCGCCTGTGTATACTAGTTTAATTTGAAAGAAAGAAGACAAAGGAAGAGAACAAGCAGGATTCGAACCCACAACAGTATGAATCTCAAGCAACCCCTTATACCACCCAGCCACTGTGCTGCAGTTGCTGAACCCTGTTGTTCTTACAGTCTTGTACCCAAAATAGGCAACATCCTATGTACACTATAGTGCAAATGCTATACTAAAAAGGTTAAAATAGCTCCTAAAAATTCAAATTTTGGGGTTATGGCAAAGGAATCGTGATAAATAGGATATTGACCTCGACTTCGGTCTATATGGGAAATATAGACTTCGTCTTGATCAATATCCTATACATATGTAAAACAGAGAGGTTCCAGGCTGTCCAAGAGAGTGTTCAATACCGAGACATAGCCAGCAATCGCATGTCATCACGTACATTGAAAATCAACATAATTTTGCGAATCGACCTTTTTTTCAGGATCACTTTTCAACGAGGACGAAGCAAAGTCGGCCGAACGAAGCCTAGAGGAAGAAAATCACCCTCTCCACTTCACCATCACGATACTGACATAGATACGAGATGAAACAACTAAAACATCCACAAGAAAACTCTACGGCCATCATCTTTTTTGGTCTGACTTTGGTCTGAGAATTTCTATCATGATCAAAAATGTACGAGGAGCACTCAAAAATAAGCCACAGACGTACCTTTATCGCTCTCTACTCCTTTTTCAAGGCACAAAAGTCGACTCTCCACTTTCAAACCAGGAACCAGACATACCAGTGGTCCTTTTCAGCTGCTCCACGAGCGCAGGAAATGTTCACCAAGGGGCGCAGAGCAGCATCCATTCCAGAAAAAAGAGCTAAAATACGAGTGAGACTGCATTTATTTATTTATTTATTTATTCAACATCTCCTGGCCCGTCCGAAGACTGCCAATAAACATGAGAGGTCAGGTGATAGCCAACCACGGCAAGCTAAAAGGGAAAAAAAGAAAGATGCTGTCAGAGAGGGAAAGGAGATAGGGAGAAAAAAAGAAAGGGAGGCACATTAATAATACATGGGATCACTTCGGATGAGACAGTGTGGAAAGCTGGACTGTGAATTTCCTGATATCCTGGCATGTCTTAATGCTAGTAGGCAGGTTAGACCAAAGGGAGTATGCTGAGAAGAAAGGGGATTTCAAAAACAGAGAGGAACTAGCTCGGGGCAGTGATAAGGCATTGCGTGTTGGTCTAGTGGTAACAAACCAGTTGTACTTGGCAATATGTTTCGGGACTTGGGCTAGGAAGATTTTTTGCACAAGGATACAAAGATGCTGCTGATGTCGGGCAAGAAGAGGGTGCGTGGAAGCAAGTTTATAAAGACAAAGGGAGGCAAATGTTTGGTCTTTTCGAAACAGAATTTTCAGAAGCAAGCGTTGATGTACCTCCAGTCTGTGGAGTAAAGTCTGAGACAACCCGCACCAAGCTATATCGCAATAGTCAAATATAGGCAAAATGTACGACTTAAAGAACAATTCTCTGCAGTTATCATTCAAGTGTTGGCAGTGGGGTTGTAGCATACCTAAGGACGCACTCGCACGCTTGCACACAGACTGGACTTGTGGAGACCAGGAGAGTTGGCGGTCGAGAATAACGCCCAGGTGCTTGTGCTCGTTAACAACTTTAATAGGTGTACTATTTAGACCAGGAAAATACAGAAGTTGAGTGGGGGGCGAGGGAGAGAAGAACATGGCCTCGGTTTTGGCGAGGTTAGGCTTCAGTTTCCAGGTTTCCATCCATGTTACTGTAGCGTTGACCCCGGACTGCATGGAGGCCGTGAGGTTGTCTGCCGAGCTGTCGGAGCACATCAGAGCAGTGTCGTCAGCAAAAAGACTTACATTTGGTACAAGGGCTGGCAAGTCATTAACGTACAGTAGAAATAGGAGCGGCCCAAGTATGGACCCCTGGGGTACCCCAGACACGACTAGTAATGGGTCTGATAGGGAGGTAGATACTCTGACAGTCTGGTGCATGACTGAGTACATGAGTACATGTATGAGTACATGCAGAAAATAGTCAATTTAGGCGTTTCTGCTCCAAACAGCAACTAGCTTCGACTAGAAACAAAGATTACACCAAAGGATCAAACAACAACCATTTTCTGCAGTTTTTTTGCAGATGGCTTCCTTGTGCTTGGCCCAGCACGCCAAAAATCACACCTCGGAGGAGTACAAAAATTACAACTCTCAGATGTCCTCGATTGCTGGCCATGGGCAGAGCTGGTTTAAACCATAAGAGGACAGAGAAAGTGTTTTAACACTGATGATTGCTTAGTGCGTGAAACTCAGAGTTAAAAAACACTTCCTCTGTCCTCTTATGGTTTTATATGAGTATATGGCATGGCTCATGTTATGGCTAGCAGCAGGACCTTTTTACAACTTTGACAAATATATGAATTTTGGGACTATCAGACTTCCCATAGCATTGAACCCAAAACCTGACGGAAAGAAAACCGGTGACAAGCTCTGCTGATCTTCAGTGAGTCAAATAGCCATGTAGAGTCTCTCACTGGCTGAATGTGTATGCCATGTAGAGTCTCTCACTGGCTGAATGTGTATGCCTCTACCTATTGTCATATGCAGGAAAACTCTCCTACTGTGAAAGCTATTCTCCCATTCAGAATGGCAACGTTAACTGTTCTGGCCGGCGAATCCATGACATCTGTCAGTATCAATGTGATTCTGGATATGTAAAGGAGCGCCATTCTTCCATTCGCTGCATACCGGGCACCGAGGTCAATGGTAGATGGTCGGAACGAGGATCATGCAGCCGTAAGTACTCTGTGCATTCTTGAGATAACGCATTGATGAAAAGTGTGGGGAGTTGAGATAAAGAGCACTTAACATGTTGGCCGGGTGATGGGGATTTCCCATATTTCGGGCTTTCACGCGTGTATTGGTGAGTAGTGCAGATCATATAGATCCTCCAAGTCAATCAGTGCACGCTGTTGTGTTGCAGACACTGGTTTATGCAAGTACATAATTATGATTGGGATTCACAGATGTCGAAACATGAATGCATATGCTTTGAAGTACTGTCACACTCATTTCTTTAATCTAGATGTAATACTGCATTTAATTCTATAGCAAGCACAGGATTATACCAATAGTATCCGTGGTCAGGGCATTGCTTGTCGTATTTCTCATCATTAAAAAACCAGGCTTGTAGCCCCAGGTCCATTTGGACTGGTTCCCGGCTACAGTAGGCACGTACGCCCAAGAACGTGGCGCCCAAGAACGTCCAGGCTGGAAATCTAAGAACGCCCCAGCCTGGATTTAGGAACGAACTCCAAGCCGGTTTGTTTTGCAAGCGGATTGCACCTTCATGATCTTGTCCGAGTACACGAAAAACAAGTCCGCAACCACAAACTCTTGTCGGGTCCTCGCGAAAACATCACCCAGTGCAGCGCCACATACTACACATGCATGTAAAGTGTACAACCGGTACATGTAGCGCAAAGTGCATTGTACATGAGCGTCACGGGTCATGTTGGACGCGTAAGAACGCGAAATAAGAACGTAGCCTGGGGCGCTGAAAAATAAGAACTTTGCTAGGCTGGCCCTCTGAAACCGCGTTCTTGGGCGTACGAGTCTACTGTATGTAGTTCTGGCGGCATGCCTGGCACCAGCCCACATTGCACCAAACTTGGCAGAGTCACTTGGTTGCTGAGAAAGTCACGGATCAGTCTACCTACACCCCTGCAACCTATCCTATTGGATCGGACTGGGACCACTTATGATCGTATGTCACTTGTTCTGCATGCTCCAGGCTTCTTCCTCCACCTTTGCTTGTTTTACCTGTTCAGTATTTCTACTGAGTCTCCAGTGGCGGATCCAGGGGGGGGGGGGGGGGTTCCGGGGGTTCCATGGAACCCCCTAAATTTTGCAAAGTGTACTGCTGAGAAATATCGGAAAATGTCATGTGTGCACAAAACTTCGTCCGTACGTCCGATCACAGTGCAGTCACTAAGTCAAGGAGTACAGTGCACTGCATGCGGTAGATCGATACTGTACGTAGTCTGTACTGGCGTTCACGTCTGTGATTTACAAACGAACACTGTAGTGTAGACAACATTGGGTGGTTGTTTCCTTTTTGATCTTTGGAGACGATCCAAACTTACCTCCATTGCCATTGGCGCTGTCGTCACTGCTGCTCTGGATGGGTGTGGTCAGTATTCCTTGGACAAGTTTTTTTCCGGAAGAGAAAGGATGTTCCGATTGATGACACTCTTCAACGAACTTCGAATCGTACACGTAGAGTTCAAGCTCCTCAGAAGATGAGGGCTCCGACATCCAAGCAAAGTCAGTAATCTCTACCTGCTGCAGCATGCAGTAGTGACTAGTTGTTCCTCCGCAGCAGCGGAGTGCTGCGCCAGCGATGTGTTTTAGATGGCATTGGAAGGATTGTCGACACTGTTTCGCTTTTGTTGTTTCTGTCAAGTGAAGACAATGCTCCTGTGATTATAGAGCATTTCACATCGTAAAAATGCTAAAAATTTCCGAAAGTACAAACGGTCAGGGAAAGTTGTCATTTCGGCATTTCATGCTCTCAACGTGGAAGGGGCAGCTAAGAGGTTAGGCTTACACCGCACTTCCACATGGTAGGACAACACGGTTACGCTTACACCCTGACAACCGCATGGTAGGACGAATGCGGTGGGGCTGGTAACCTGGAGTTAACTGACCAGCTCAAAGGCTTATGGAGTGCTTTGCAGGCCACCTAACAAATACCACCATGTTGTGAGTCCCTATTTATTTGTAACGTTGATGTGAGTTGCTTTTGTGGTGAGTCTGGCACCATAGAAAGCGTTAAAGTTGGGTGGGTTTGGGATGGGGAAAATTCTGGCAGAGAGCTAGTTTGTGAGAAAACAGCGAGCCAGAGCAGCAGGCAAGCGTGGAACAACAAATGCTTGAAAGGAGAATCGGTATGCACAGGCAGTTTGGTGAGCCAGCTGCCATGCTAAGCTGACGTCAGTGAAGCGCGCGCAGCCCCCGGTCGTGCTTGCAAAATGTGCACGTGGTCGCATGCACAGACAGTGACAAGGCCAGCGTATCAGCTGTGGTATGGGTAAGGAACAAGTTCAACGTGGACCCTATGCAAGAGAGCCAGCTGAGAGGGTGTTACGTGACTGTTAACATCCCACTGCACACACAGACATTCAAGACCAGGTTTGGGCTAGATCGGGACTCACAGTGGGTGAAATGATTAGGCTTACACCGCGCTTCCACATGGTAGGACATATGTGGAAGGGGCAGCAAAGAGGTTAATCTTACACCGCACTTCCACATGGTAGGACAAATGTGGAAGGGGCAGCTAAAGAGGTTAGGCTTACACCGTGCTTCCACATGGTAGGACAAATGTGGATAGGCTGCTAACACGGTTACGCTTACACCTTGACAACCGCATGGTAGGACGAATGCGGCGGGGCTGGTAACCTGGAGTTAACTGACCAGCTCAAAGGCTTATGGAGTGCTTTGCAGGCCACCTAACAAATACCACCCAAAAATAAGACCGCCTATGGCGGCTTGAGCCCTGAACTAGCTGTTCAAACCGAGAGCGAAGCCATGCTCAGTGGGTTGCAATCAAGATGTGAGAGAGCAGCTGGAATAGGCTTAACGTTATACCCAGTCAGCTACATAGCTAACATATGCCCGCTAAAGGTAAGTCTGTCGGAAACGTTGCGAGCCCTAGTTTAGCTACCTCTATACGCCAGGCACAGCAGCACGATCAGGGAATGCTAACGAGATACGTAGAGTGCAAGGGGAGCAGAGCAGCCACTCTTACAGAGGCCGTACAACAGTGTTCAACTAGTCTGATCTCACCCGTGCTTTGGTGATTATTTCCTTGAGCCAACTATGCCTTGCGCTTCGGTGGCTATGGGGATGGTTGCCGCATCCCCCTTGCTTGCGAATCCAACTCCATGCCCAAAAATGTGATGACGGGCAGATCATGGTAGCGCCGTCCGTTGACCTGCAAGCCGTTTCCCGGGAGTGGGTTGCAGTTGTGTACTGGATGGATCTGGAGATGTTGGATCACGGTGGTAGATTAAGTTCAATACGCAGAAGGTACCGTCGCTGGTGCAATCTGTGTGGCCGTAGGTACAACGGCCCGGATCTTCCTCTTCTGGCACGACCACCACCACGCCGTGTATGCACCACGGGAATGTGAAGCCAGCTGATGACGCTTTAGACACATGTGAGGTCACGTTCTTGGATCAGATGAAGCTGGACAAGTGCGTACACCTCTCTGGACTCGCTGGGTGTGATGTCGAGCTGGTGTATCTCCAGCTACATTGTGCCCAGCTCCAGTAACGGGATGGAACCTTCTCCGAATGCCACTGAAACCCGTAGCTAGGAAAGCATGTTGAGATGTTGTAAATTACACGATTGTCCAAGAGTAAGACGAGAGGCGATTCCAATGACTACTAAGTGAAACTGCAGGCGCGCCCAACTTCATTACTGGGGATGGCAAAGGTAGCTGAGAAATGAGCTTGGTTGCAATGGTTAAGCAGGCTATACTGGCCTCTAAGATAATGAGTTTGAGATAAAATTGCCAGAAGATACACAATAGTGGCGTTGTGCACGCTCGAACCATCTAGTGTTGAAAGATGGTGAATTAGTCCAAGATAACTGTCTCTCTTCGGAGAAATGCCTAGCCAAGATGACTGCCCCGGACGGAATGGTGGGGTGGACACGGGCCGGCTGTCGTACCATCCGCCACTGCCGGTTGTCTTATCCATACTGGGTGAATGGTGCCACAGGCTCATGCACTGTGCCCGGGGCTTTTGCAGGTGCTGCATTGATGGTTAATCTACGAATTGATGGGCGACGATGTGGTCGATAGTGCTCTCGGGTAGAGTTGCCCCGATTGGAACAGGTTTAGCGTGATGCAGGTGACACCGGACGAAGGGCGCCGGCTGGACGTACATGGCCATTAGATGGGGTATTGTTTAGTGCAGTGCAGCCGGTCAAAAGACGTTAGGATCTCCAGAAACATGTGGAACGTTAATTATGACAACAGTTTGGAGGATGCCAACAAGTGAATACGACAGAGATTGGGCTGTCCTGACCAAATCGCTGGACGGCATCATGGTTCAGGTCTCCGAAAATTTGTGAACGTGTTGAGTCCGACAAACGTCCGGAATTCTGATGCTCTGCTGGGGTGTGCATCCAGATTCCCAACAGCAAATAATGCCAAATATTGTTCCCACCTGCAGCTAGGTTGCCTTTGCCCGAATTGCGAGAGGACAAACGTTCCAATGCTGAGAGATAGTGGATTAGGCCATGGCGGCTGTCTTTCTTAGGTGAGATGCTTTATGAAGATGACTTCGTTGGGCTGAATGGTGGAGTGGATACGGAACGGCTGTCGTCTCATCCGCCATTGCAGGTAGTCGGAGATATACTGGGTGTATGCGACAGAGACGTTAGGTCCGGCCGAACATCATCTTGCACTGGCCTCTTAGCCAATGGAGAAATCATGTGGATAGTGCTGTGCGGTTGAGAAGCATGTATGGCTTATGCCGACGTTGCCATGATTTTGGTCCAAACATATCCAGCGCAGTGGGCGTAGACGGGGTACGAAGCTGACGCGAACCAGACAGGCACCTACTGCCATGGGGTGAAGACACCGTGGGCATAGTTCGTGATCCACATGATTATGCTGCTTTTTGTCCTGTCCATCAATCACATCTGGTGTTCTGGTGTTGGGCTGACTGCTCAGCGTTCTTTATTCTCTCTCTCTCCTATCTTTCTTTCTTTCTTTCCTCTATCTA